CTATAATTTATTTTTAATACGCCAGTTATATATTTATACATTTATTTCCAATAATGATAGGTTTGGTCCTCCATATGTGACATGCAGTATCTTCATAAAGACAATTAATTTAAATAGTGAATTGCGGAACTCGTCCTCTACGTCCATAACCATCACTGCCTTACCCCACTGGTATTGTTGACGTATTTTGTTTCTGTTTTTGTTTTGTTTTGTTTTGTTTTCTACAGGAGAGAATTTGCAGAGCTGATGGAGAAATATGGCTCCAACAGCAGCACAGGATCAACGCGCAATTCCCCCATCCAGCAAGGTAGATTGGTCCAAACTGTCTCAGACTGTCATGTTTTTGTCATGTTTAAATACACAGATTCTCATCACAAAAACACGAACAACGTTCATCCCATCAGTACCACAGAGGCCATCATGGGACATGGTAGAAATCTATTTTAAAGTAGAATCAATTGCATACACTTACCAAAACTGGTTCTTATGACCTTAAATTTGACTTTTACCTATAGACGTCTGGGTTCTCTACAGAGGAACAAAACAATAGACCGTTTTTAGTTATCCACTGAGCATCTTTCAAGAGCTTTTCGAGGCGTCACTCTGTTCTAGAGTGCAGGAAGCCTGAAGGCTGGATGRAGTAAGTTGGCCGTAAAAAATGACTTCAGACAAGTGCACTTGTCCATCACACAATTAAACATCTGCCATGAAAGAGGCAGCCAGCTGCTGCAGATTTGTTCAGACAGAACTTCAGTAGTTTCTGCATTCTGTGTAGAATCATACTTATTGTGTTGTTCCAGATTAAACTGTTAAAAGACAGCGTACATAACTTATACCAGTTTGTTAGGCTTGTCTTCCACTGGACACATAAAACAACTATTTTTTAGGATTTTTGTCATCAAATGACAAAAGACTGAACTTGTTACTATTATSTTTCAATAAAATATCTGGGAGGTTTTGTGCTAATTTCATGTTTATTTTGAAACTCTGAAAATCCAGAGGCAACAGGTGTAAAGAAGCATTTGATAAATGTTAAACAAACAAAACATGGCTAACTTAGAAACATCTTTGTACTATTTAAAAAATTTTTAAAAATATGTCTACAAAGCAAGTTGAAAATGCAGCATCTACAACTTCCACACAGATTTTACTTTGATCGTGATGACAGCAAATGAAACAGATGTTAACCCAAACAATGAATTTTGGATATTATTTTGTGCTTAGAGTCACTTCTGTTTAAGAAATGGTTGACAGGGTTGCATTCAACGGGAGTCACAGAGCTTCAGCTAATTGATGAGACCTTGTATTTACTTCTGTCTAAAACAAAAAYGTTCTCAAAACTAATTTCATTCACTGTGTCCAAAAATTTCTCAAAACTATATTGTCTCCATTTTTCAATAAAAAAACATGGAATACTAGAGATTTTACACTTTTGCTAAGTTTAGCTGAAGAAGTTAAATGAAGCTAAATAGTAGCTGAAACGTCAATGTAACAAAAAGGCTAGATAAAACCTAGCTAAAGGCAGCAAAATGGTACCTACAGCGGGTAAAATAAGTATTGAACACGTCAACATTTTTCTCAGTAAATATATTACACTAGAGGTGCTAATGACATGAAATTTTCACCAGATGTC